TAGCTTATCATATTGAATTCAACCGATTTCTTTATGTTAGTTACTATGCTTATAACTCAAGAACGGCTTGACAGATGTTAACAATTCATACAATTTAGGAATGCGTGAAAATATGCCAATAAAAATGTGAATAAAAAATCTTTTTGGTGTGAAATGTTTTCAATTTGAAATACTATATTGAAGTGTGCATTTTTTATTGTTTTGAATTCTAAATGAATAATGTTAAAAATTAAAAGAGTGCGCAATACGATGTTAAATGACGATCTTTCATGTCTAAAATTGGCATATAGCTTTCAACTCCAGGACCTAAATCATGCTTCAGATGGAAGATGCGAACACAAAACAAAAACGAATTGAAACAAAGGCGCGAAATAAGGGCAAAAAAATAATAAATAAATGGGCAAGACCCCGAAAGTACCTTAAATCATATGATGGTTATACCGAAACGTGATCATTTGTGCAATGATGGTTTCTTCTCAAATTACCAACATTTGTCGAGTTTAGTATGAAAAATATGGTTAAAATGTAAAATATACTTGAAATCGGGCTGTATTCATATCCGGGGTTTATAACCCATATCATGACTGCAAAAGCGATTTAAGGTATTTTAGAAAAAATAGAAATCCGTTTCTTAGTAAATGTCCAATTCGCATTACTGCTTTGCATCCTTTATATTCGGTACTTCACTAATAGCAGTCCCAATGAATTTTGAATTTTAGAGTTCTCATTGGACGGATTATTGTCATATGAAAGAAGTAGATCAATATAGTATGTCAAATTGAAAAAAATTTATGCCGAAAATATTTTTCATCGCATTTTTATTGGCATATTTTCACACGTTTTTTTTTTTTCCAAGATAGCATTCCGAAATTGTATGAATTGTCAAAAACCGCCAAGGCGTTCGTGAGTTATAAACGTAGTAACCAAAATAACTTTATGTTATATGGTGAATATAATTCTTTATTTTGTTCACAAAAAAGATTGAATTCAATATTATAAGCCAAGTTGGAGAATAATCGTACATTAAATAAAATTGACAAAAAAAAAAGAAAAACAAATTGAAAAACAAGTAAGCAAAGGCTACAGTCGAGCGGGGCCGACAGTTGAATACCCTACAACACTATAATAAACCATACAGTTTATATAGGCGAGATACTCGAAAGAATTCCACAAGATATTGTGACAAATAATAAAAGAAACGTTCTCTAATTTTCAAAAAAATAGCAACTTAAACGAATTTGCTCATTTCCAATTTATTCGTAGATGTTGCACTTAAATGGTCTTCCTAGATCTGGAACCAATATTTCCCAAAGACCTATAATCTCTCAGAAGTGGCAAAAGATTAACATTTATTATTGGTTTTTGACTGAAACGCATCCATATGAGAGACATTCATTTGACTATATTCTTCAACGAAATCAGCGTTAACGAAATAGTCAAAAGTGCGTCTTTCCTGCATTTGTGAATTCTCCAAAAAGTCGCTGGAATGGACATTTCCGTATTTAGTCTACAAAAGTTGGTAAACTATTTCACACATTGAATATTTGTGGATGGCCATCCGAAACTGCTTGGCTTTTGCAATGTGCGGTAACCCCCATTCAAATGTGCGTGAGGATCGGGCGATAATTACGACCTGCTGACATTTGACAGTTTTTTGGTCCATTTCAACCCCTAAATATATAACGATCATCTCCAAAAAGAGTAGGCTTCTATTCTGACCCTCATTTTATCCCCATGCAAAATTTCGTAAGGATCGGGCCATAAATGCGATCTGTATATGATATCTTGATATCTTAACTACTTAGTTTTGTTAGCTGTAGAAATATTACCAAATGTTTAATTCAAAATGAAAATATGCCAAAAATATGACAAAAATTGAAAAAATATGAGAAAATTTTACAAAATCAATATTTTCATCTTTAGAGAGATATTTTTATGCGATTTTTTTAGACGTTTTTTCTTTCCTGCCAAGAGGCCATTCTGAATTAATGAGAACTGTCGAAATCAGTTCAGCCGTTCTCGACATATAAGAGATCTTTCAAGCATATCTTCTTTGATAGACATATATATCGCACATATTTTGCTATATATCCGATTTATTGGATGTTAACATCAATGTAAAGGTCAGAAGTAACCTTGTCATGGCTTTGTGGTTTCGACGGGATTTAAAATATTCACGGTTTAATGAAAAATTTTGAATTTTTTCAACACAAAAGATATGGTGTATTTTACCCGCTAAATATTATCCGATGACCACCCAAATTGGTAGGCTTCTTCCCCGCCCTAAACTCTAGCTACATGCGAAATTCCGCGTCGATTGGTCTATAATTGCGACCTGTATAGCTACTGCAAAATCCGACATTTTTTCAGTATTTGGTCCATTTCAACCCCTAAACATTTGGCGATCATCTCCAAAAGAAATAGGGTTCTATTCTGACCTTAACCCCACCTACATTCTAAATTTCGTGAAGATCGGGCCATAATTGCGACCTGTAGAGTGATTACAAATTAACATGGACAGACGGACAGACGGACAGACGGACAGACGGACGGACGGACATACATAGCTAGATCGACTCAGCTCGGCGAGCTAGGAAGATCCATATATACTTTCCTATGTGGGAAATCAATATTTCGAGGTGTTACATAATTTTTGGCCCAATCAAACTTATAATACCCCCAACACATAGTGTTGTAGGGTATAAAAATCTACAACTTGTTGTTTCCTTACGAAATTTGTCAATAGAATGTAAATTTTTTTCTCGATTTTTCCCTTTTCATGATTTTTAGCGATTTTCAAAAAGTAATTATCCTTTAACTTTGGTGTGACAGCGTTAAATTATTTCGACATCATCTATTCAGTTTCGCCACCACATAATTCGGTACTATACTTCATGCAACCCGCCTGTAATTTCAGTTCTCAAGAAATCGAGTCAAATATGATGATGATAAAATATTGATTTTTTTTTTCTTTGGTTCATAGCTTAACCTCTTCTGAAATGATATTATTCGTAGAGTTCCACTTACCCAATAAATACATAATATCTATAAATAACAGTTTTGCCCGTTGTCGCCCAAAAAACACTACACATTATATTAGAATTCAAAAAAAAAAAAAAACACTACAAATGTACATTTAAAATTAATAAGTAAAATGGAAAAAAATTAACATTACGATTGTACATTTTAAAAGTCTAAATGAAAATGTTCAAATTTCACATTTTTACGTGATTTTTTTGGATTTTATCCTTCTCTGCCAAGATACAATTCCAAATTTGTATGAATCGTTAAAATCAAACCAGCGCGTCGCAATATTTATATCATATTTATTTAGGTCCGATACGAAATGGCCAATATTCGCACATTCCTTTGGAACCTACTCCATAAGGGGTTAAACATTTGGAAAATCATAACAGAAGTCAAAATATTTTTAAATAATCGTACATTCGCCGAGGGTATAAATCTGTCGGCAAAACCGACAGTTGCTTTATAACTTGTTAACAGCCAATTCAAGCAGCGTTGTAAGGTTATTTTCTCTTTAATTATTTTGCCCATCTATGCTTCTAGGTGAGAACATAAACCATTAAGACATTTTCTTTTATTTTTAAAAATAGATAAAATTTGGCCGAGTAATTAGTGGAATGATTGTCAGCTTCTGATTTCCTGCATGTTGATTTTAAAGGTTTGCCGTGTAATTTACACATTTTTTCTAGTTTCCGTTCCTTTACTTTGTCACAGAGTTTCATATTTCGCTCTTTTTCCTGTTTTGCCATTCAAAAATTGAAGAAACAAGGTTCATGTTGCTCAATAATCTCCTTTTTTGGTTGGAATACTTCCGTTTACTCTTTTTTGTATATACAAATGATTAAAAATTATACAAATATTCCATCCTAGGGGAATTATTCTAAAAAATAACAGTTTTATTCCGTTTATAACTCATCGAAGTTATCATTTTGGATCAAATATTCATGACCCGATTTAGCCATGCCCTTTTGTCTGTCTGGGTTTTGGTATTTGAAGGTCACGGGTTCGTAACCATCTTACAAACAATGAATAGTTTCAGAAATGAATTCTTCTTTTGTCAGAGAAAAGGGCAAAATACTTTTTTTGAAATTCAAGCAAAATATATGTTAGCACTAATGTTGTCTTTTTTTTGCAATTATATTTAAATATTATGAAACAATACAAAGGGCTGAAAGTGTAATTCATGGGCAACTGGAAACATACATAAATTATTTTCATTAAATTGCATGTTTTACTGTAATTTTTAATTTAAGATAATTTCAAAAGCGGATATAATTGAAGTTATGTCTTGGTTTGTGTAATTATTTGTATGTTCATATGTAAAGTTTATTGCAATTGTCACCAATTTGTTGTCTTAAAACTTCCTCAAACAGCCTTTTTATTAGGGTGGAATAACAATTGGTTTAAGTTTCATGGGTTAAATTTTGTAACAACCCGCTTTTCAACATTCTTGGCATAACGTTATTGGTTGCCGCGTCCAATTGCCTCTCCTATGTAAAGCCAAACGTAGGTTGGGTAGGAGTTAAAAATTGTATGGCGTATATTTGGATATTAAATAAACCATTTGTATTTTATCCAGTAAACCCCTGTACACCAAAATGAAACTATAACAACGTAATGACTTACGTTAGCTCGTTTCGCAAGAATGAATCCCACCGTGAAATAATGTACTTCATAGTGAATTGTCATGCGTTTGAATCTTAACTTATTTTCAACGCGTTGCACTGTGAAATAAAGCCGATCAAATTTTCCAACGTTCGCCCTGCCTTATTTAAAAATGTAAATATTTTGTATGGTAGTACAAATTATTTTCATATGAATGTGGCAATGTGTAAAGTACATACATGTTGACATTTGTAGAACACTGTGCAAAAAACTTTTTTCAAATAATTGCCAATTCACTTAAACACAAGAAAGTTTTTTATATAAAAGGTTAAAAAACAAGAGTTATTGTTAGTACCTTTTGTTCAACGCGTCAAACACTAACTGAAGCCTAATTTGAAAATAAAAATGTTGAAAAACGGTATATTAAAAACGAATTTTGTTTTATTCAGCTGTTTACTTCTTTGTGAAATAGTAAGAGCTGTTCCTAAATTTGAAGCCAGTAATAAAAAGTAAGTGAGAAAACTGCATAATGTCCTAATTCAGCCGTAGTGAAAGGATATTGCACACATTAGTGTTGGCCGACTGTAAAGTGACGCTGAATAACAATACATAGTATGTGTATATACAGGGTGGGATGAAAAAAAACTGCAACAAAGTCTAACGCCATAACTTTTACATTTTTTTAAATTTTATTGAATGAAAGCAAAAAAATTCGGAAATAACATAACATTTGAGGAAAAGTTTAGATTTGTTCGAATTTGTCACCATCGGCACCTTGCTTTCCAAAATACTCCAGACACAATATTCCAACAGATTGGTATCCGGAGATTTTGGTGGCCATTGTGCGCTGGAAATGAAGCTAGGAACCTTATTTTGTAATCATTCTTGGGTGGCGCGTGCTGAGTCCTGTTGGAATGTCCAAGGTCTGCGGCCAAAATGTTTGCGTGCCCAAGGCTTTAATACACCCTCCAGAGTATTTTGCTATAATATTCGGCATTTATTCTGATGATACGTCGATTAATACGAGCGGAGAGCGTCCGTCTGTCTGTTGAAATCACGATACAGCCCACATTATTTGACGTAGAGCGCCAAAATTTAGAAGAGCAATTTGTATTGTGTCTCGGATGGTTGGTATTGAAAATGATCGGTCCTTTTTCCATGTTTATCCATTTTCATGATTTATTCCACATTTTTTACGGATTTGTCTGAAAATTGGTATTTGTAGGTCATAACGGATCCCAGTTCATGTGGCGAGACATTGCATGTATAGGTCCACGCTTTGGTGTAGCCCCCATATAACGGTACCTCCCGATATTCGGTATTTTGATGATTTTTGCCACATTTTTTCATATATATATATATATATATATATATATATATATATATATATATATATATATATATATATATATATATATATATATATATATATATCATATATATATATATATATATATATATATATATATATATATATATATATATATATATATATATATATATATATATATATATATATATATATATATATATCATATATATATATATATATATATATATATATATATATATATATATATATATATATATATATATATATATATATATATATTGTTGTTTGTTGGTAATGGAATCAGTTGAAAACGGCTGGACCGATTTGCATAATATTTTACAAACGTTCGTCATACCCCGAGTTAGGTTTTTAAAGAAAAAAATATTGACCGCGTCTACTTTTACGCCCACTATCTTGATTTATGTAAAATCTTTATCTCTTTATATTTGCCAGATAATAAAGATATCGGTTTGAAAATTATTACACGAGATACAGTTGACTTATATATATGTATATATATATATATATATATATATATATATATATATATATATATATATATATATATATATATATATATATATAAGGAAATTGTGTTAGTTACTACGCTTATAACTCAAGAACCGCTGATCTGATTTTAACGATTTCCACAAATTCGGATTTGTCTCTTGGCAGAAAAGGATAAAATCCAAAAAAATCGCGTAAAAATGTGAAATTTTCGAATTTTCATTTTGACTTTTGAAGTGTACAATAGTAATGTTTTATTTTGCATGATTTTTTTTTCCTATTTTGACTTACTATTTCGGAATGTACATTTGTAGTGTTTTTTTTTTAATTCTAATATGATGTGTAGTCTTTTTGGGTAGTAGAAAGCGGCGAAAATTATGGAGTGGCGGAACTGAATACATGATGTCAAAATAAAATTACTAAAAAATCAACAAAGATCATATTGCACTGCAAAAACTCTAAAATAGGGAAAAACTGAGAACATTTTTTCAATGGAAGCAAATTTCAAAATAATAGAAAGGACCAAACTTCGTAAGGACCTTTAAATATTGGCTCTAAAAACCAGCGAACAAGTTGAAGATTTTTTTTTCAATTTGTTTATTAGTTACTATGCTTATAACTCAAGAACGTTTTGACGGATTTTCACAATTCATACAACTCCAAAATGGAATCTTGCAAAACAAATTGCGCAAAATATGCCAATAAAAATATAAAAGAAAAAATCCTTTTGGCGTGAAATTTTTTCAATTTAAAAACTATATAGAATTGTACATTTTTTATTGTTTTGAATTCTGAATGAATAATATCAAAAATGAAATAGTACGCAATAAGATGTTAAATGGCGATCTTTCATGTCTGAAATTGGCATTTAGCGTTCAACTCCAGGATCTACATCGTGCTTCAGCTGGAAGATGCGAACACATTTAAATAAACAAAAATAACCGACAAAACGTTATGGGGCTCATTTCAAAACGTGGACCCACCTACTTCTATCAAATGACAATAATCCGTTCAATGAGAACTCAATATGCAAAATTCATTGCGACTGCAATCAGTGAAATACCGAATATAAAGGGAAAAGGATTTCTATTCTTTCAGAAATTCTTCCTAAACTTTCACGATACCTTAAATCACTTTTGCAGGTCATGATATGGGCCATAACCCCCGGATAAGGATACAAACCGATTTCAAGTATATCTTACAATTTAACCATATTTTCATACTATTTTTGGCAAATGTTGGTAATTTGGGAAGAAACCATCCATGCAAAAACTGATCATCATATGATTTAAGGAACCGGACATTTGTTTAATCGTCTTTGAATTATACTATGATAAATGATAAGGAAATTATGGGGTCTCCAACGCGCAATTTCAATGACAAATAATTCATATTACTTTGAAAACAAGTAAAAAAAATTAAGTTCGGCCGGGCAGAATTATTACTATCATCCATCTGAGGGTAAAGGAAACATTTTTATATAAAAGTATATAAATTCAAGCGTGTGTCACTTTAAACTTGATATACCAGTAAGACTGTTTGGATAATGCAGTTAACTTATCAAAAAACCATAAAGTGAATGAGGCCGTTATATGGGACCATACCAAAACGGGAACCTCTGTGGACAATTTTAAACTTCAAGGATTGTCACCTTCTAAAATACCAAATTTGAAACAATTATATGCGTAAATGTGTGGACTATCAACATACCCAATATAGGTAGGTATCGTTGTATGTGTTAGACAAATCCGAGAAGAAATGTGGCAAAAATCATCAAAATACCGAATTTCGAGAGATACCGTTATATGGGGACTATACCAAAACGTGAACCGATAGATCATTTTCCATACCAACCATCCTATACACATTACAAATTTTTCAGCTAAATTTTGACGCTATACGTCAAATAATGTGGGCTGTATCGTAATTTAAACAAACAGACATACAGACGGACAAATCGACTTAGAGTTTTATGCTGATTATGAATATATATGCATATTTAATGGGGTCTATGACGAATATTTAGTGATGTTACAAATTGAATGAAAAGTTAATATACCCTCCTTTCCAAGGTGGATGATATAATAGCATTAAATGCTAAAATTACGGGCCGGCAACGCGGACCGGGCCAGGTAGTAAATAAATAAAACAAAATCAAAAATTTAAAAAAACTTAATTACAATAAGTAATACTTTCATGCGTAAACAAACAAAAAGCTCTATCTACCAACGCGTGAACATGCCAGGAATAGCTGACCATGAGAAAAGCAGGAACATGACAAATTTAGTCTTAATAGCAAAAGCCAAGCGAGCAGGAAACAGTCTTTTTAAGTTGGGTGGCATTTCTGTTGCATATTATGTAAAATTGTCCGAAAATATATATAGGAGCTATATCCAAATCTGAACCGATTTGAAAAATTTATTTTTGTACCAAATTCAGTCACTCAAGCCGAATTTCCTTGGAATCGGACATACGTATCGTGTTTGGTGCATCAAATATGTGAAATCTGGACCGATTTCAATATAAATTGACAAATTTATTTTCTGATCAAAATCCCGCCACACATCATAAATTTCATTGGAATCGAACATGTACCAAATTCAGTCACTCAAGCCGAATTTCCTTGGAATTGGACATACGTATCGTGTTTGGTGCATCAAATATGTGAAATCTGAACCGATTTCAATATAAATTGACAAATTTATTTTCTGATCAAAACCCCGCCACACATTATAAATTTCATTGGAATCGAACATACATATCGTGTTCGGTGCATCAAATAAACGAAATCGGCCAGAAATATATTGGGTATAGCTCAAATTTGAACCGATTTCAATATAAATTTACAAATTTATTTTTGTTTCAAATTCAATTACACAGTGCAAATTTGGAGAGTGCATCTGTAATCGATCAATATGTGCACATAAAATCTAAATTTTTGAGAGGTACCTCCGATTCTTATGTTATATCTCCATTTCCAAGTGGAATTTCATAAATTTATATAGCCTATGTTACATTCAGGCGATGTTGTAGTATACTTGGAAATTTTCAGGAAAATCTGTTCAGCGGGTTTCGAATCCATAAATTAAAACAACTAAACTTTCTGCCTAAACCGAAATTTATTATCATGTATCAACTGGAAAAATGTCCACCTTTTTTAACTTATAGTGAAATTTGATGAAGAATATTTTTGAAGTCAATATTCAAAAATTATGCCTTGCAAAAACTCACATAAAGTACGAGTTTAACCCTAAAATGTGCTTTTAGTATACACCTTTAGACATTTGATGTATTCTGTGATATAGTAGAATTTTTTGTTTTTAACAAATACATTTATAGAATATGACTACGTTTAAAGGGAGCTTTGTTGGCTCGCTTGAGTGTATGTCCAAATTATCCAGGTATTAAATATTGCCGATGAAACTATGTATCATTTGTAAGAAATCTGCACGCAAAAAACAGTAAGGAAAGACCCTACACAACTGTTCATATTTAGTAGAGCTACCCCTAACAAATATTTGTTTTTATGGGGAATTCATAAGAATTATATCATAGGAATTATGATCATTTTGAAATGCGTATTATGGCTTAAAAGAAGTTATAATTTAAAGCAGAAATGAATTATTATATGGCAGGTATATTCTCCTCTAAATCGATGAATCTAAACCG